CTCCCCGCAGCCTTCTCTTCTCCAGGCTGAACAACCCCAACTCTCTCAGCCTGTCTCCAGAGCAGAGGTGCTCCAGCCCTTGCATCATCTCCGTGGCCTCCTCTGGCCTGGCTCCAACAGCTCCATGCCCTTCTTGTCCTGGGGACCCCCGAGCTGGATGCAGCACTGCAGAGGGGTCTCACCAGAGCAGAGCAGAGGGGCAGAATCCCCTCCCTCGACCTGCTGGTCACACTGCTGGGGATGCAGCCCAGGACACGGGTGGCTTTCTGGGCTGCCAGCTCACATCGCTGGTGATTTCCTTTCCCTGGGAAATTAACAGTACAAATTAAGTGCCTGAACCATTAGGAAGCAGTGTGGATAGGTTTGAGCTGTCCTCAGCCATGGCAGCACTCTCCTGCCACACACGATGCCTGGGTCCTGGCCCTGCAGCATGGCCACCAGCACAGGGGCAGGAGCTGATCCCCACCATCGACCCCCGGTATCTCTGGGTCAGCCGAACCCCCAGCTCGCCCCAGGGCTGGGTTTATACCCACATCCACCTTCTTCGCTTCCCAAGGTGGCTTCTCTAGAGCCACTCGGCATTTCCACAAGGAAGTCCGATTCCCTCAGGCACTGTATTTGTGGTCAGTGTAAAGTGACAACGGAATTCAGTTTAGTCTTAACTCCCATTCCCGCCACCTCCAAACCCATCCCCAAGGAGGTGGCAGACCTTTGGGAGGACGGTTAATCTTCTCCCAATACTTTCTCATCACGTAACTGGTGATTACTTACCACAGACCTACTTCCTGCTCAATACAGAACTACTATGCTGACAATTTAACACGTCTCACGGAGCGAGGATTATGTAGCAAACTCACTCAGGTTTACAGCAACCCTTAAATATGCAACATTGACTTCGGCCCTAGTCCCCTGGGCAACACGGATACACCACACCAAAACAGCAACTGTTTGTTTCAAAACCTCTTACCTCCGATTTCTAGTACAAACTTCTGCTCTTCCAGTTATTGCCTCAAAAATATTGCCTGAAGTTCCCTCCCTGCCAGAAGTATTTGCAGAAGGCTGGACCTGTACTACACCTGTACTACGCTGAGCCTACACCCCTCGGAACAGACGCGCGGGGTTTGCCACACCGCAACGCCAAGACGCGACATCACCCCTACGCAGGAGACGTGCCATCGGCCCAGGTCAGCCGCTCGGGGACTGGGACTGCTCACGGGAGTCAAGGGTGCTCTGGGGCAAGTATCTGGAAGAACAGCAATTTTATCAAATTGACAAGAAAATCTGCTTTTAGATAAAATGAAATGATAAAAATTTCATGAATCATCAAAAACTATTTAATTGAAAGTGGTACATATACTCATATTCCACTTACATTTGCTGAAAAAATAGATCAAAAATAGACAGCACTAATATATTCACTGAATATGAACAGACAGCTTCGAGTTAGAGGTATGACCATTCCAAACCTCACCATTTAAAATGGAAATACAAACAATCTTCAGGTTGGCTCATCTGGCCCATCATCTCACAAACGGAAGAAAAAGTTGTCAAAATACACAGAGCAAGTCCAGGTAAACATTTAAAATTTATTAAACTTTTTGGTCAAAATAATTGAACAAGTATGTACAATCCCATTGTAGTAGCTCTCTTACGTATTTTAGGAACAAGGTCAAAACTAATGCTTTAGTGACCCCGAAGTTCCACACTTCAAGATTTTCAAATAGTGTCACAACCAATATACAGTATAAGTTTTTTAATTTAAACTTTATTTGTAGAACCTCAAAGTTAGTTGTACTTACTAGCTTACCGTGAACAAGAGTGGCACTCTATGGACATTAATCGGGAGGGTACGAACAGAGATAGTTTGCTCTCGCATATGTGGATCTGGTTCAATAATCACAATTCACCTTCATTTTAAGAAAAATGGAGTGTAAACCACACTTCGGTGTTTCTCCGGGAAGCGCAAGGGATCTTGTTTTCAGGAAGGAGTTTCTGACCTGCAGGCACATTTCAGAGCGCAATGCCCAGCCCCTCAATGCTACGAAAACGTGCTGCAACAGCCCCGGGAGCAGCTTCTCACCCCAGCTACTCTGGGGTGAAGAGAAGGTCGATGTGTTTTAGGCCTCTTTGGGGAGGGGGGGGAAAAAAAAAAAAAAAGAAAAGAAAAGAAAAAAAAGTACCTAAGGCTTAAAACAAAGTTGCAAGAACAGAGTTACAACCACGGCAGCTCACACCAGCGTGTGGCCGCACGGTTTTCCGACATCTCAGCGTTACAGTCAGAACACGCTATCGCAGTGAGCTGCGCTGCTGCTTGGCATCACCAAGAGAGTTGGGTTTGCTGGCTTGAACTGCAACGTGAGAGACAGCATGTTATGCCAAATATTTAAAATAAACTATGTCTTCATGACAAATACCAAAAAGGTTAAAAACCATAATGCACATAAGGTATGTCCCTATCTAACATTGAGAGGCATCAGATGAACGGAATTTTTACCTTCAGAGAAGAAAATTTGTTCAATGTTTTGTTTTCCCTTCTGTGCAAGGTGGCCACTTTCTGTTAAGGCTGTGGATGTCTTTATGCTAACCTTTTCAATCTCCTATTTGGTACACAGATAGCATTTGACAAGAAAATCAGTGCAACTTAAACTAAATGACAATTTCATGGAAACTCTAAATTTAGAATTTGAAATACTACACAAAAAAAGTTTGTATTAGTCTGCCAAAAATCAATGTTTTGGGGCAAACATTGTCAAATCTGCCCATCAGAATTATTCTGCAGAACCTCAGTACATGCAATAAAAAAATAAGAAGACTGAATACATACCTTCAGATTTAAAAACACTTTTATAGTTCGTTATTTTATTAAGTGGTTTACACCAGAAGGTGTGGTTATAGATACAGTCGGTGAGTAAATATTCATGGAAACCTGTCTACGAACCCAACTCAAGACCTACCTAAGTGCTCAAAGGTAAAAACACCTAAGCCTAGATACAGGCCAGAGGAGGAATGTTTACAGGCATTAAGCACAATATATGTTTTGAAAGGCCGAAATATTACAGCAGAGAAAGAGCGCAAGAGATAGAAATTACATTTTTATGACAATTTTTCTTCTCGGGTGTTAAATTTTTGGTCTATAAACTGGAAAGGAAGGCTCAGACTTAAATAAATACATTTGTTTTGAGCAGTGGCCTCACTGAGCACTGTCCATCGCTTCTGCCTCCAGAGGGTTGCTCCCAGAACCTCGCAACTGGTGCTCCCTACCCCGCCGCAGGCAGAACTGCTCCATGAACTCAAAAACCAGGCCAGACCCTCGCCTTTATCTAAAGGGAAGTAAGTGCATCAATGTTCTTCACTGGTAGGACAACAAGGCCTTCTCTTTTACAGATAAACAACTGAGCTTAACTATGCAAGACGACGACTCTGTCCTCAGTTAAGTCATCTTTAGTTAATTTTGTCCTGGAATATATACAAATTATTGGTGGCAGCTACAGCAATGATGTTCTCCATGGGATGCCATGCTGTATGAAGAATCTTCTTGTTGAAGTCCAGACTGTCAACGCTTATTTCATCCTTCTTTCTTTTACCGCCTGTGCACACTTTACGTGGCTTTAAGATGGCACGAGGTTTGCTGCTCTCCCTGGATGCTTCCAGAGTGATATCCCGTCGTGTGTTTCGGTCAAACATTCTAAAGAAATTGTTGTAAGATCCAGTCATGATAGCACTGTTTAAAAGCAGAAGACAAACAAATCTTACTAGGTTTCCGGCATGTTCTCTCTCTTGCACACACGGTGACTGTCAGACCAAGGTCACAGCCAGTACATGGCATTATACTCCCTTCCTCTCTGACGTACACCTTTGCTCAGTTCCATTTTCAGACTTCAGCACTGCTCCACCCCACCACTTCTCCTCCAGGTCTTCCCCTGGTCCCCCCCATCCTGCCACCGGCACTCAGCAGCAGTCCTACGCTTCGTTATCTTAACGACAGCACAGTGGGTTTTCCCCGGTGCTACTCCATCCCTTTACCCCCCATGGCAACAAAAGTCACAGTGGGAGCAAAGCCACTGTGAACTGCTTCGTTTCAGCAGGCTATCACAAATGAAAGCACCTTCCTTGGCACAGTGCACATGTCGACCACAAGCATGCCAATGGATCAATTACGAAAAATTGCCTCCAATTGGTAAGAGAGCCCCCTTACGTGAACGTCTGATGCGGCCCTGAAGAACCAAGTCAGAGTTTCTGTACAGTATCAAATTTGCTTTTGATTGAGGCAGAAAAAATTCGCATCTGAAGATGCTTTCAGATATCTAACTTCCAATGGACAGCTGGTTTGTAGCTCTCGCAAAAAATATGCTTGAAACCTAGGCTTTGTTCGTTATTTTCAGTATTGAACACTTATCTCTAGCATTTGAAACTGGAAAAGCCGTTAACAAATTGTTAAAATCACAACCACCTTGCCATCTTATTTGCCAATACACATTGTCTTCATGGCATTTAAAAATGAATGACTAGGAGAACGAGACACTATTACCACAACATTTACCACTCAGATTGTGCTAGGGAATGTGCTTTTTCAAAGGGAGGTGAGCACTGCAGCTTCTACGACAACTTACGTTCTCATGTTAAAATGAGATGACCTTGCTTTGACTTTTGTATTTTTTTTTACGCCACCAAAAAAGCCTGACTGGAGATGCTTGAGAAAAACCATAGATATAAGGGTGAGTTTCTTTGCCTTTTAGCTTAGCAAAACACACACATTCATTTCATGGTAGATATCGTAGGTATTACTAGCAATTCCTTGTGGCAAACTGACTGATACAGTGTACTTCTCCCCTCAGTAACTCAAAGCCCCTTGCAACCTGGTATTTAGAGTAACCAGTTTTCTTTAATATTGTTTACTTAGGAAATTAGTACCTAAGTGGCATGTAGCAGTGCAGGCAATCTCAACGGTCACTGCAACAGCAATGCAGGTACGTCTCACTTCCTTTGCTGACTCCTGCGCACAGCTTACTAGGTCTGACTTCCCTGACCACTGTTCCCATCTAAACGATGTGGTGGATCTTTTGTTCTTCAATATTTGAGAGATTTAGGGCAAAGCTTGTTTTGCAGGTTGATCTTGTTACCATCAAATCAAAACTGATACCTTTTCACCGAACAGCTTCCAAGTATTTGGTAGCAGACAAGTCACTGCTTTACGTATTTCAGATGTACTCATAAAAATTCTACAAAACCCAAGAATAATCCCCGAGGCAAGCCAACAGAAAGCATCCAGATACACAATCCAGATCTGCCATGATCTTATCCATGGTTTCTGAAAGCATTTAACAAGGACCTAACATTACCATAGCTAGTGCCAGGAAACATACAACATTTGTGCCAATCCAGTGGCTTTGCTATCTGATTATAATGCTTCCACACTTGCAGGCAGGACAAGCATTTCCACTGTTTGCAACAAAATACCAGTAATGATCTAAGGAAGTTTCATCTTCTTTAGCTTACAGAAAACATGGAAAGATGATTGAACTTGCAGAATACTGAATGCACGTTCTTGTATAAGCTTTGAGAATGAAACTGTCACATTTTCATGCCTTGAAATGGCCAGTCTTGACTATACAAAACTTCATCAATAACTCCTGTTGCAAACAAACTGACACACAGAAGTTTATTCCATTTCCACACTGGAGGGTAGAGGATTGAAGAATGAAGTCTTTTTGAAAAAGAAAAAACCCAACAACCCCAGTTGATTGGAATGTAACTAACTGCATCCTTAAAGTTACGTACTGCTTATGGCTTTCAAGACTGGAAGCCCAATTCCTGATGCTGAGGGAAAACCAAAAGCCCAAACCAGAATGAAACCCCCAACTCACCTATCAGAACCGTTCCAGCAGCATTCAAATTTGTCGAAGATGCAGTCATTTTCATAAAGAGAACAAAGCTTGCTTCGAAGATACTCATGAACCTTTTTGGAACATTTAAATTGGTATTAGATATGAAGGAAAAGAAGAAAAGGGAAAAGAAAGGATATTTAAGAAAACGTGAACACCATACTTGGTATGTCTCTACAGGTCTGTTCTCCATATTGAGATCCCACACTTTAACAGAAAGGTAGTCTCTTGTCATCATGTATCGACCACTGTGACTGAATTTTACATCAGATATCGATGATATTATTTCTGAAAAAAACGATCTGCTGCTAGGATCTTCAGGTTCTTCAAAAACTGTAGGTAGAAGACACAATTGCAAATGAAACCAACACTAAGTTTTACAGCTTTGAACATTCTTCAGCACTTGGAAAACTTCAAAACAATAAACTAGTTTCTTTTTAAAGGAAGTTGCTGTAAATACTTTAAAAAATAATCTCTTTTAAACAATGTTATGCTCTTAGTCATCAGCTTGCTAGGTGCCTATCTCCAACACCCTCAACTGGAGCACAGCATCAGCAACTACAATTCACAGGTCTTACGGATGAATCAGAGAACAGAAGTTAAAACACCAGCACATGGGTACAGTAAACATTACAAGTGATCTACAAATCATGTTGAACAGGAGAAGATGAAAACATCAGCATCCCAAACACAGGATCTTAATGTATGATCCATGCATTCTGAGACTTCTGTACAACACACTTTTCCTTAGATCTGAACACAAGTCATACAACACAACCTACTGAAGTGAAATATTAGTAACTACACTTGAAATGCAATTGGTATAGTTTTAGAAAGCAGATAAAGAAATACATTACTTAAATTGAAGAGTTAATCTTTGAAGTCAACGTTTCATGACACAAGGTACCCAGAAGAATTTATTTCATTTTTGAATAGACCCCTTTTAAGAGGATGTTATTCAGTGACAAGCAGTCAAAAAAATAAAGTGCTTCTAAGTAATTTAATGCAACTCTAAGTCCAATAGATGAAGTGGCCTAGCATTCTGCCCTTCCCATTGCACAAACACTTCCTTCCACCAACAAGAAAACCTTATCTGCGCTACAGAAAGCTTACCTGCAATTATCAGTACGGTAGGTCACCCCACAGGACTAGTAATACTAATAAACCACAACTGCTACAGTGGTGAACAAGAAATGAGGCTGTGTGCAAGGCACAGGCAGTTATCTTTATGATTTCAACAGAAAAGCTCTCCTCACCTACATAAGTTTACATGGCTCAGCAGACTAAAGAGCATTCACCTTTCACCCCTGGAAACTCGCTCCAAATGCAGCGCTTATTCTTAAAAATTAATTCTATCCTAGGAGCTGCAAATGGTCACAAAGTAAATGGATTCTGGCTGCATCAGCCCAGTTTCTAATGCACAAAGCTGAATAAACTGCCCTGAACTGGCATTTGATAAGCAGATACCTTTGAGAAGCACCAAGACTGAGTCTGGACAGAAGACAGGTCTCACTGGTGCCAAAAGCACTTGTTCCCATCAGTTTATGATGCATAAATGGGTAAACAGGAGCAGAGTCAGATCGTCAATTGTCTCATGCTACACTTCTGCTTGTGGATGGCCTAGAACAAGACAATTAAAATGTTCCATTCTACAAAACTACCACCCCTTACCTTGTATGCTCTTTACCAATAAGCAGAACTTGGTATGTTTATTTATAAGCAGAACACCTATACACTCCATCTTGCGTGAAAACAAAGCAAGAAACCCGTAAATGAAGATGCATCCTAACTTACATTTTGAATGCCTGTCACAGAGGGCTGAGGAACGCATGTCACAGAGTCGAATAGTTCCTTTGCTACTACTGTAGACGAAGACGTTACAGTGATGAGGATGGAACTCTGCAGCAGTGATCACCTCTGTCAGCTCCTCCATGTTAGCGGGCTTAATATCTACAATATCTGGGAAGGTTTTTGTAAAGGCACTTAACATTTCACATTCAACTAACTTCTAGCAGATAATTATTACAAAATGTTAAAAATACAATGTAGAAAACCAAGGCAAGATCTTAATTTCCACTGTGTGCAGTCTGCACAAAGTAAAGTGACCTGAGTAGATTTAAAACAAACAAATCTAGGTTTTACATATCAACTTTAACAGATGCTGGAGATAATTTCTGACTCCACTTAAGCTTCCTTCTTAACACTTCCTACTGAACACTGAATACACTTTACCTCTTTACCTAAAGCTTTAGAAAATTTGCCTATGACCTATTTCATATTCCATATTTCTGCAACTTTTATTTTATTGCAAATTTGTCAGTGCAGGACACGCTATTATTTTTGGATACACATGCTTCTGAAAAGATTTGAAAATTATTTCTGCAGTGAAGGATATCATTTGATATGGAAAAAAATCAGAATTTGTTTTAAGAGAAATATTACTTAGACAGTTAAAGACCTTAAACTTTGAAAAGAAGTATCTACAGTAACAAAGGACCTACTTTTCAAATCTTTCAACTCTTACTTAAGTTGACTGAACTTCACAAATAAAGGACGCTCCCAAAATTCCTCAATTCTTCTTCAGACAACAAACTATCTATGATATTTCTACTGGCAGTTTTCCATTGAAAGAACACTTGCACTCAAGAATGAATGCGAGCACCCCAAGGCCTGCTTTCACTGTAGTAAACCTCCAGATTTTAAAATCCTCTACTTTAATCCCTAGATTCAAACACCTACTCTAATTAGTAAAACTTAAGTGATTCTTTTCAACATATACAATTTAGATGTGCCCCAGTGTCCACAAAAAGGATACTAAAACTTCTATCTGTGATTTCTAAATGCCATAGGTTAATTCTTAGGTCATCTGCAGAAAGGTATGTTTCATGATCACTATTTACTGAAATAGAGTTTATGTGATAAGTATGTGCATTTGCAAATATCCTTCTGGGACTTGCTTCTACCATTAGGTCCATGGGTTTCAATATTGGCACCTGAAATGTGAAAAAGAACAGTCAATTTTGGCATAAAACTGATTTCTGATTCAGAAGGTATTAATTAATTGCACAGCACGGATTCCATTTTGATTTAGTGACCAAACACTTTTCAAATCTACAGTAATACAACAGCCTATGAATGCTGGCTTTGCATCTACCAACCCAAAACCTCAGACACTGACTTCTGCAGAAGTTACCTTAGAAGTGAAAAGTCAAATACAGCAGCTTTGTAACTCCTTTGCCAGGAAAATGGTGTATGTTTGTAATGATATTTGATGATGATGATTTGAAACAAGTGCTCAAGAGTGACCCCCATACTTTAGAGGGGTGGTTGTGAAATTGGTGAGAACAGTCTGCAAAGAAAAATCCCTGGTTTGATTGAACAGTCAGTAGGGCTTTAGGAGCACATGAATGCCCCGTTTCCACAACTCCCTGGCCTAAGGGTGATGTGGTTTGTTGTCAGGGTGAAGTGCAATAAGCTTCCCTCTAGCTCCTCCTCAGTGACCAGCGAGTAGTTTAAGGTTGCCCAAGGACGTCCTATGCTGTTCTGGCACATACGATTCATCAGAACACTAACTTACATCATCCCACCAAGAAAAAAGTTATGACAGTGTCCAAGATAGTCTGTCTTCCTGGAACAAGAAACAAATTAATCCAAGAGCTCTGTAATTGCTTTCACCATGTTTGTATCTCACAGTCTGTTTATATCAAACTGTAACGATTAAAATTAATCCATTACTTTTTATTAGGCAATTTTCCTATCTTGCCACATGAGTGTTCCTAGCCTGCTTGTGAAATCAAAAATGCATTAATGTGAATTATCAGGAAAGGTACTTAGAAATGCTGCGGTCTCTGCAAAGGATGCAGCGCTGAAGTGCTGCTTCTTCTCCATCTCTACTTCTTTATAAACAAATGTGGGTTACACTTCTGCAACAAAATATGCAAAGCCCATAAAAGCCCAAGGTATACATACTGTAGATCTCTCAAACTCGATCACTTGGAGGTAACTCCAAGGTTTTTTCCCCTTCTGCCAATCATTGCTCAGATTTGGTTCCTTCCATCAGCTCTTCTTGTAAGATGTGGTGCCTGCAAGGTCTGCAGCTCAGCCCAACCTTCCTTTCCCAGAAAAGTAGCAAATTTAGAAGACTAACTTCTGAGAGAGGGGTTCTTGCTTTTTGTTGTTACCCCCTTTCAGGCTGATGATTTATAAACAGATGGCAGCGTTTAAAGCAGGTGCTAACATACTCCTTCAGTGGTATAGCCAGTACCTTGTAAAACCCTAGGTTGTATTCCAGACTCTCCACATTCCCAGATGGATAGTCTATTCCTACAGAAGAGCAAGGTTGTAGAATCCAAAATTTCATCTGTACCTACTCCCAGTCACTGAGCTAAGGCACTGTATCATAACATATTTCCTTGCTTTTAGATACTTTCATTAGGATACTCAATCAGATCTTGGCTCCCACACGCTGAGGAGAAAGACACTTTCCAGAGGAAGTGGGTATCCTTTCCCCAACATGATGATGTGTTACACTAATGTATACCTAAAGCTTCAGTTCAGTATTCAATTTAAGCAAAACCAAGGCAAAAAACCCACAAAACCCCACAGCTGTACAGTGCCTGCAAGTGTCAGAAGTGGCACTGTCTTTGAAAGCAGCGAGAGCCTCAGTTCAATTCCTATTTATGGTAACAACAACAACGTTAAAAAAAAAAACCACAAAGGGAAAAACCCCAGCCCCACATGATTTCATCTCTTGAGCTCCTGCTTCAAATGATCCCAAGTTTGGAGCGCTCACCCTACTACTACATCACTACGCAAGCGGAAGATGTCAAGACTATTCAAGTATACCTTAGGTCTTCCAACTGCTCAGAACTTCCCTCTAACCAAACCACCTGTACCTCACCATGGAATACCCAGCACCCTGATTAAATTTTTGAGTCTTGTCCTTAGAAAAAAGGCCGAACAAGTGATATATAAGCAATATTGAGGAAAAAAAGAATTATCAGTACAATCAAAGCCAAATTCTTCCTAAATTCATGACGGCTTGTGCTTTCAGCCCAGGAGAAGGGCCCTGTCTGTCAGTGTCACTGAGCAGGACCCAGGGGGTCCAAAGGGTGAGCTGGGCATTTGCACCTCCTTACAGCGACTGGCACGGGCATGTCAGCACCGTCTGCTGAGGTGGGGCGGCCAGGAAGAGCAGTCAGCATGCTAGGGGCTCCGAAGTACCGTGCTCCTGCACTTTTCTTCACATTCCACTAAGATGTTAGGCTATTTTAAGATCACAGCAGGATGAGTCCATGCTTTCTGTGAACTGAGTACAGAGCAGTGCAGCCCCAGCCCCAGATACTCCAAAATGCTGTATTTTCAGGTTTGAACAACTATATTTTCTTATATTTTATTGCTGTCAATAAAGCAGTGTATCTTTTTCTACAATTTGAATATGCTGAGGTGGATAAAGGCTGTCTAACAAAATATTTCAATTTTAAAAAACAGTTTACATTTCAAATCAATTTTAAATATGCTAAGATGTTCCAAGAAAAAAAAAAAACAAGACAAACTACACAACCAAAAACCAAACCACAACAAACTATTGGGAAGCTATTATTATAATCATGAAAGTTTGTCTCAAGTTTACCAGAGGAACCTTATTTAATAGGTTTTTATATATGTATACATATATATATAAAAAAATGAAGTGTCTCCATTTTTTATAAGTTTTCAATGACCCTGTCCAAAACATCATTTTTAATCTACACATTTCAGTTGACAACTTCAGTACAAAGGTAGAGAAGTACATGTATACTGATATTTAAAGAGCAGAAACGTACCCGTAGTGCTGTGATTCTGAAAGGATCCCTAAGTCTTCCATCTTCATCTTTTAAATTATAACCTTCGGCTCTTTTATCCCTTTCACTTATTTTCCATAATTTAATAGTTTTATCTAAAACCAAAAATTCACATACTTAAGAATGAATTACATTCAAAATAAAAGCACTAAATAACGGAGTCAGTGGATATTATTTATCTATCTAGGTTTCCACTGCCTGCAACAGCAAGCTGAACAGCAAGTGACTGAG